TGCTGGCTTTTTGTTGGAGAAACCCTGATTTCATATTTTATTGTTTTTCTTCTTGGATTGTCAGATTCACCAGAGAAGAGTTATTCAGTTTTTTTGGATAAAGAAAACAACAACAACAAATTCTCCCCAAAACTACCTGCTGACATCCCAGTGATAAAGCAGAGGAAGTCTGGGAGGTGTCTGTATTAACATTCCAAACATAGAAGTTCACTTAATCCTCTCTTTTTGGTAGAGAACACTGGCATTCCCCAATTCAGAGACCTTCTTTTACCATCTCTATAAAAGAAGGGCAAACCTTGAGTTACTGGTTGGGGAGAGGAAGAGCAGTTGCCCAAAGGCAGGGAGGCTTGGACAGGACCTAGAGTATTTAACTGTTTCCTGTAAATGGTTTTCAGTTCTTAATTTATACAGTTCTGTTCACCCCATTTCCACAGGTACTTGATGCTTCCATTCCCTGAGCCTTCTGCATTCTATGTGATGTACTTTGAGGTTGTTCTCTGATTGTTCCTGCCAGTTTATTACTCCTTGGGTCCGCTAAGCCAGTTACCAGATGTCCACTTGCTTCCAGCTTCCCAAATGTTGGTGTTGTCTTCTCTCCTGTATTCCCTTCTCTTAAGTCTTTTGGAGAAAAAAAGGAAAGGAAAGGAGAGGAGAGGGGAGGGGAAGGAGGAAAGGAGAGAAAGAAAAAAGGAAAAGAAAAGAAAAAAAGAAAAAGAAAATCCATTTTCTATAGTTTTAGTAGGGCTTTGGAGGAAGTGAAATTATATGCCTGTTCCTGATCCATCATTTGACCTGAAAGTGTTGCTATTGCTTTTAGACACATGTTACATGCCAGGTAAAATCTATAAAGAATTCTCTAGTGAAAGCTCTTGTTAGTGTAAAGGCCAATAACTGTTCTAAGCAACAAATAATTTTTTTTGCTGTTGAACTGTTTATATGTGTCGTCCCTTTTGTCTGTGACTTGAGTCTTTCCCTTTTGAACCCATCACCAAACTCTTACTTAAAATCTTCCAGATTGAGCACTATGTCAACATCCTGTCCTATAGACCCAACACTAGCCCTGCAAGAGTTTGAACTGCATTTTCCTTTGAGTAGGCAGAATGATTACTATTTCAAAGTCTTTTCACATTGTCTCTTTTGTAAGGTAATATGATAAGAAAATGAATAACCATTTCTCTTATATCTATGCACACATTTAAGTAAGCAGACCTTGATATTTTGAATATTTTATTTTTATTTAAGTAGGCTCCATGCCCAGTGTGGAGCCCAGCATGGGGCTTGAACTCACAACCCTGAGATCAAGACCTGAGCTGAGATCAAGGGTCAGATACTTAACTGACTGAGCCACCCAGGCACCCGTTTTTTTTAATATTTTAAGTCCTGATAACATTCTCTATTCACTGATGCCTCCCGAAGAGTCTTCCCACTTTTACTTGGCTACTGTTCCTGGACAATTTCCTCTGGTTTAAAAGGTGACTATTAGAGGTAAAAGGTAAATATTAAAAAGAGATTAGCCTAAACTTGAGGCTTTCTTTATGGTTTGATAAACAATATTTAATGAGGTCTGGAAAAAAGTAATGCCTTGGAAAGAATCAAGGTCAACTCCTTAAAAAAATTTATCTTGGAAACAAATACTTTAAAATATCTTTATTCATAAGACTCCTAGAAAACAGGTTAGAGAATATATAACAAAGCAAAATAAAACTTCTATAATAACAAAATTTAAAAATACAATTTAATTTAGTGTAGTAAACATTTCTAGAGCTTCTTCATTCAAGGCACTGAATTAGATGCTGGAGGAGGGACCAAAAAAAACCAAAACCAAAACCAAAACAAAACAAACCAAGAAGAATGCGATTCCTAAGGGCTTAGACATTCACAAGAAATAATAGTTTAAGTTCACGTAAAATTATAGATTTTGTCTAAAACGTTTCATGAGTATGACCATATAACTTATTATTAAAAATGGAAGACTTTTGAAGAGCAAGAGGAGGTGCAATGTTAATAATTATACTGGGATCATTCTAAGCAAAACAAAATGCAAGGAGATAATATGAGGTTTCAAAGTTGGTGGAATTTTATCTGTTCAGTGAGATCAGGGAAGATAAAGAAGGGAAAAGTGGAAATTCAAAGTAGAGAGAACAGCATGAACCAAACTATGGGTGAGGAGTGGCACGTATTTGGATGGTTTAGGTATAAAAATCTATACTGGTGAAAAAGTTTGAAAAGCAAGTTAAAAATAGATTTTTAAGGGTCTTCCTATAAAATCTTTAATAAAGGGTTGATATGATTCAAACTCTAATTTGAGAAGATTGTTCTGCCAGGAATGTGTAGATAGGCTAGAAAAGAAAGAGATTGAATTAGGCAAGAAGATTCAGAAGGGAAGAAGTTATGAACCCTAACTAGGACAAGAATGTCAAGGAGAAATTAGATGCCAATAATATTGTTGAAGTAGAATTCATAGACCTGGTAAATATCAAAAGGGGGGACATCAGAGGCAAGGGAAAAAGGAAAGGCCAAGAACACAATATTTTCATGTAAATAACCAAGAGAATTTAGTGTATTAATAAATAATTCAGGAGGAAGCATGCTTATTTTGGGGGGAAAAAGGGATGTTGATGCTTTATATTTAGGAGATTGAATCTGGGAAGCAGAGGAAAAATCCAGATGTTTGTCCAGCAAGTGGGTGAAAATTGTCAATCTGGATTTTGTGAGACATCATATCCACAAAGCTAAAGCCATGCTTGTGCAGAAGGGTCCAGGAGAGAGTATAGAATAAAGGAGGTTAAGAACATATAGGGGACTTAGGTAAATTCACAAGAATTAGTTTAAAAAGATAGATATGGTAGGGGAAAAGATTTTTAAGCCGTAATATCTAGAAGCCAACATTTTCCTGAGCACGGACTATGAGCTAGCTTCTGTAGCAGCTCTAGGTATAGGAAAGTAATAAGAAATTGATAGGTCCTGACCTGAAGGAGCAGAAGTACTAATGGCAGAGTAACTGTCAGTATTAAATACTCGTAAGAAGCCAGGTAAGATAGAGAATTAGACTAGGTTTAGTTATAAATATATCATTTAAATTTAAAGAAATGAGTGGTGAGGAGTGCCACAAAATTTTAAAGAATGAGTGTAAAGAACACATGAAAGGAGTGAATTATATATATATTTTTCTTTTTTTTTTTTTAAAGATTTTATTTATTTATTTATTTGAGAGAGAGAGAGAGAGAGAAACAGCATGAGAGGGGAGAGGGTCAGAGGGAGAAGCAGGCTCCCCGCCGAGCCGGGAGCCCGATGTGGGACTCAATCCCAGGATGCCGGGACCATGACCTGAGCCGAAGGCAGTCGCTCAACCAACTGAGCCACCCAGGCGCCCTATATGTATATTTTTCAAGGAATAAAATAATTAAGGGGGGCAGAGAAGAGAGAAAAGAGGTGAAGGTGAGGAAAAGGAAGAGGAAGAAGAAGGAAGGAAGGGGGAGAGCTAGTGACACTTTGAGGTAACTAATTGAGGGGGTGGCAGAGGGCATCAAACTGGGTTGAATGAAGTTCTGCCCATTCAAATACTTTGTGTAAAAGATTTAAAATATGCAAACGTTGTCATTCACCTCAATGGTATTTGTTTCTGTAGCGTGCTATATAGTATCATTCTAGTTTGGTCCTTGATTATGGCAACAATCGTGCAAGATAGGTCATATAATGCTATATTTTGATATTAAATAAATAAAATACAGGTATGTAAGAAAAATACTTTACTGGGTTAGATCGATATTTCTCGCTTTTTTCCCCCTCTTTGATAATAAAAAAAAGATTTATTCTTGAATTCTGCCTGATTATTTGTGGTTTCATATTGTTGACAACCTTATAAAAATAAATGTTATCTTTTGTTTAAAAGCCTTTTACAAATAAAAATACAATATATTGTTGCTTGGCTAACCTTTTAGGTTCTTATGGGCTGACATGTTTCAAAAGTCCAACAACTCTTATCTATGAGTCTTCCTTTAAACTCTTTGAGATAGTTATGCAAGTTCTCAGGGATGCACCTTAGAAGCAGGTTTCAAAGACTGAATACAAACAGTTCTCTGTCCCCCTAGTCTACAGTTTGTTACTTCAGACAATGAAATCCCTTATGATTGTCTTAGGTACCTTGCTTCAGTGCTTCTCTTTTATGTGTGGATTAAAATTTATAAGATTGGTTTCTTCGTGCATAGATAAGTCTTGATTTTTGCATGAAAGAACATATTTTTCTTTATTACCAGTATGCATTCCCAATTCTTCCTAAAGTTCAGATGACAATTTGAAATAATTGATACATATTAGATTTGATTTTTAGGAAACTCTTGCTTCAGCACTTGATTACATGCAAGTATTTGATATTGTAAGAGATTTCATAGTTGATCCTGTGTTCAAGATAATTTATGAAAATGTAGATAAGGAAATGTTTATCTTTGCTTATGTTTTCTACGAGTCAGTTCTTTATTCATGGTTATTCATGGCCATCCTTTCCTGTAGTCCTATCATTAAAAAAAAAGTTCTTGAATGGGATTCTGTCAAAGACTTTTGATATAAAAATTAACTCCTTTGATTCAATTTACCTAGACAGTCATGATGTGTGACTTTAAACAATAAGTTATACTCACCTATCCAAAAATTACTCTTTATTCTTATTAGGTAGTGATGAAATCTTAACAAATCCTATGTTCATGGCTACTTGCCTGATATATATCTGATGCAGTAATGCTTCCTGCTCCTGTCCTTGGCCCGTCACATGCATCTAGTTAGTCCATAAACAATTCTCCAGTTGATATGGCCACTTTAATATACTTGCTCATTCAGGGAAACACCGGAAATCTTGGCCTAAATTACTTAAGAATTTTCATTTTCTGTTTCATATTGATTAGGAAGGCATATATAGTAAAGTCTACTGCTATAGATCACAGCCTCCATATTAGTTATAAATGTATGTATATCATTCATTGAGTAAAACCACAATGTATATGAACTGTTTTTCTTTTCTCTTATTTATTGACAGTTTTTTTAATTACAACACAATGAATTGATGGTAAATACAGAAGATGCAATAGTATAAAAAGCCATTTAACCCGTCCCTAGGTTAAGACACTTACAGCAGACAAAAACTGCCCCACCCCAAGTCCCCTCCTTGAATGGAAACAAAATAAATATAAATTAATAAATACAAAACAAATCACTGCACAGCCCTTAACTCTTTGATTGCCATGGCAAGAACCATGCTGATGATTCTAGCTTGTGACATTTGTGTGGTTAAAGGTTGCCGCAGCAGTCAAAGGGTTATAGCATTGTAAACATAAGTACTTCGTGGAAAAGTTCAGTCATGTTAATGGTCTACAGCGATGAGATTAATAGCATGACCCCTTGACCTTTAATGACGCAACATTATAAGGAGTTGAAGAGATAGTAGCTTGGTGAGCTGTTACATAGACTAGTCAACCATTTTATTTAACAATGTGCTGTGAGGCCTTGATTTACTAATAAAAGACAACTTGTGAATAATAAACACTGTTCGATGCATTGATCAATAAAATCAATGAAAAAATTAAGCACCACAGAATTTTGCCTGATTATATCTGACAGTCATAATACACTTTAGCACCATTTATTTGCCTTATATTTGCACACAAACAAGCTTTGTGTTTGTCAGTAGAAGCTATCTGAAAAAAAAAAATATATATATATATGCCAGATTTAAGATGTTAATAAATGTATAGAATCCTGTGTGGGCAAAAAAAACCACTAACAACTTGCAAACCTTAAAGCTCATTCAGCAAATAAATGAGTTATTTATTTCTTTCCTTGCACATAGAAGACTACATATTATCAGAAACTTAATGAAGTACTGTTGAATGTAATGTGAACAATCCAGAAGTTTAAAGTTAGATTTTAATATCCTCTCCATTACTGAAAATATCATGGGGAATTAAAATAAAGGCAAGTATTGTCAGACAACCAAGAGATAATAGCCTAAATATTTAATTTCTTACTGTTTCTCTCTGCTTCATGTTTTAATGTTATTTAAATAAAGTCTGCATTTATTTTATGCATTACATTCTTTTAATTTCCCATAACCACAATATAGAAAGGAAAAGTGATTTTCATAAGAAGCTATAAAATGTCTACTGTTTACCCAAGAGACAACTTTCCTCTGCAATTGCTTGCATCTCATTCTGGCTCTGAAAGACAAATGTATGTGCAATTATTTTTTTAATATAGCATATGGTATTTATTTGACAAACTAAATTTATGGGAGCTTTTTCCCCTTAATCTGTTAAATATGTATGTGTGTGTATATATATACACACACATGCATACATACACACAGACACACCATATATACACACATATATACACATACACACACTATATATATATTTCCAAATCTATATTACCAGATAGCTCATATGGATGGCATAAATTGTGTTCATTATCATACTGATCCACTACTGGAATCAAGATAATGTTTCTATAGGTATACAGATTTTAAAACATCCTGAAGATAGATTACTACACTGATGAAGCAGGCAATTTTCTCAATATCAATAATTGATTCTTTTAAAAAATCATCAATAGACTATGGACTATGTTTTTGCTAAAAATTAGGTTTATTAAAAGTTATAGTAGCACAAATTTGAACTAGTAAACTCCATTTATTTCCTTCCTATAATATAAAAACAAAATATATTTATTTAAAATTATATACCTAAAAAAAAATCTTTCAAGACTTTTAAGCCTGAAGCAAATTTTTATGGGTGAGTCTCTAAAACCCCTGAAAATAGAGGTCCACAATAAAAATGCTGATGCAGTCAAAACCAATGCAGCAAAAAGCTGCCACTATAATACCCCTTATTCTTTCATTCTCTTTCTAATATATAATTTATGTAATTTACACATAAAGGGAAACAGATACAGAATTGAGGTTTTAGGCATTCATGTACACATGATGTACCTTAAACAGAACACTATATTATGGTATTTACTTTCCTGTATAATTATTTAAGATACATTCTCCAAAAGCAAAGTTCCTTAGCTGGCTTATCAACAGACAACAGCCTTCATACTCAGCATTTCACTTTTCTCAGGGGAATAACTCTAAAAAAGTTAGAATCCAATGTAAGAGATTGGAAGGTGTGTGAAATTGATTGGAAACTCTTTGCATGAAACTTGTGAAGGAAATTACTGAGGAACAAAAATATATTTTCTGGGCCCATGTCTGATATATAGTGCTGCTCAATTCTGGTTTTCATAAACAGAAGGGAAAATCAAATCTGTAAAAAAAGAGGGGCAAGGTGGAAATGGAAAGGAATGCAAATACGGGCACAGGCTACATAAGACAATACAAAATAATATATCCCTCCCAACCATCTGTATTCTGGGGTGACACACAGAAAGCAAACATAATTTCAGGATTGGAGGAGCAGAAAAACCAGATACCCAATCATCCTTGTTAAGAAATCAGGTTTGTTTGAAAGTAACAAAGTAACTAAGATTGTGAAATTTTGTATTTATGAACATAAAAAAGAATAACGTATTCCACTTCGGATAGAAAAGAAGTAACAAAAAACCAAAACCAAAAACAACCCTAATTTTACCCAGGCAGTAGGACCTACTAAAGAGCTGTGAGAAGACAAGCAATAATGTGGCCTCTGTGGTAGTGTTTCAGTGGTAGCAAAAATTATGCAATTGATTTAAGGATTGAATCAGTCATTCAAGGAAACTATGTTTTACCTTCACAACTGGGTTATCAATATATAGAGAGGGAAAAAGTTCAAATTGGCATTACGAAAGAACAAATGAAACATGCATTCTAGTGACTTTGCAAATAGACAGCTTACACCAGGCTTTATTCATCCATATCTTAGCAAGACAGGCCAACATAGAAACATATATTCATACAAAATGTGGCAAGAACAAGCAGCACCATATCCTATCCTAGAAAAAAAGCAACCTACCATGCAGTCACATCTCACCAAAGCTTCATCGTATATGAGGCATTTATAAAAAGGCCTGTGTCAAAAAGTGTTATGCCTGGGATCAAATCTAGCTACAGACCAAATGCTACAGATATGTCTGTATTTTGTGTAATTTTTTTTTTCATGGAGAAAAACAAGTAGATAAAATACTCAAGAAACATCTTCGTAAGTCGAAAAGTTAATCATTTTATTCATGTTCACCATTCTCTCCTTCCGGTTTTTCTATGTGAAATAAGGGTTAATGACATCTTACTCTGAAGCTAAGTGGCCTAACATGATACAATTATCATATTTTCATATCTATATTTAATTGATTTTCTTCTCCCTTCTTAAGGGCATATAAATTCAGCTCTATAGCAGAGCACGTGGCAAAGTTATGTGAATCAGCACAACATTCTAATTTATGATGTATTTGTCTTACAATGCCCAGTGTGCCCTTGAATGTAAGGCCACATTGAGTGCAAACTTGAATATTAACCCCAGTCCAATGTTAGTATAAGACAGATTTTTAAGACGCACTGCTCTTTAAATTGGAAAGGCATATAATCTTTAGAAATCTTCATAAATATCTTTCATATGTTTTTTATACTTAGGCACTAACCATGAGTTAACTGGGTATGCCCTCATTTTCCTTTAAGAGCTTTAGTTATGTACTATTTTACAGTACTCATGATCTTATACCCTTACTTCATATAAAGAATTAGCATTGTTCTAAAAAAAGATGCATGTTTCTGTCCAATTATAAGCTCACAATTGTGTTTAAAAATCGAAGGCTGCTACTTCAGTATTCTACCAGAATATTGACAAGTTTTATAATATATGTTTTTCACTCAATTTCTGTGACTTTGTCAGTGTTTGTTTGGATCAGTGTTCATTCTTAGGCTTTATATACTATTGGTTTAAATTTCAAAGTAGAAATACATATAAAATGTTGAGATATTTGAAATTGATGTTATTCATCTGACCTGAAATATCTCTGAATCATTTCAAAATGATGCCAGTGGAAACAAAAAATGATTTGAGTAGGACAGAAAGACAAAGGTTCCAATTAGGTGAGATTAGAACACTAAGGCAATTTCTTTGCTACTATGCCAAGTGTTTATGTTATGTGATTACTGAGGTAAATTTCTATCCTAGAGAAATGGCTTTTCTCAGGAGATTCTAACATGTATCTTTCCAATTGAGGTTACTGAACACCTAACTTTTGACATTTTTAGCCTATAAGGCAGTGCATTAGTATCAGATGTGTTTATGCAGGGTAACATCTAAAAACCACTGGCTAATTATATACATTGATATATCACATACCCATTACTAACATGAAGAGCCTGAAGTTGCATTTTTCTCTATTTTTATACTTGCTAAAGTAGAATTTCCAGTTGTATTAAGGAGTGCTGTAGTATGTTTTTATATTTTACAAAACACTCATTTTTCTTTTTCCTCCATTTCCATTATATTTAATATATATAGTATTTAATTTTCATATTTATGGTGTGGTGCTCCACCTGGTTGCTGTTTTCTTTATCATATAAAATTCTAATTTTTAAAATACAACTGATAAAATATTTCTGATGTAGCTTTGGTTCCCTTTTCAGCAACAAGGAACCTAAAACAAAGACACATATCCTTTCCCAGTTATATAACCTGCAGTCAAAATAAATTAATATCATGAAGGTGCATGAGATGCAATGGAATGATTAAATCCTCTAATACTATTGACTTGAAACCTTTTGTGATATCATATATTGGCTGAGATTATATTTACAGCTATTTATAAATAGCTTATCTGAATTTAACATTTTTGGTTTAGATGGCATGTTCTTTTTGACATCTGTGATGTTTTGGAATGTGCTCTTGAGAGCATCAAAAATTAAATGAACTCTTTGCTATGTTTGCTGAAAAAGATTTCACCGCCATCCACGAGGTTGTTTCAGTATATGTTACAATCTCACAGACTCAATACTATCAGTAAATCACCGCCTTTATTAGTTTCTGGAAATAATTCCAAAACTTAAAAAAAAAAAAATCTTTTCATGACTCTTGTGTTAGCTCAGTCTACTTGATTATAACATCCATTTCTCTTCAGATAGCACATTGAATTTAGTCAATATGGACACATTTGTTACTCTATGTAAGATTCACAAAGTGTGGGCATGTATTTGATACTAGAGATATCAGCATAATATGCAGAACTTGGAAGTATTATATTACTATACCTAGGATCCAGTATATACAAATCATCCACATATTGGAACTACCAGTGAAGTTGGGCAGTGTTCTCATCCACCACATTGTGTTTTTTAATCACCCACAGAAAGGGAATAAAAATAAGTATATCGTATATGAAACAAATTGTGTCAATAGAAAAAGATTACAACCAATCTGACTAGTAAAAGTAACATTTGCTTATTTCAGTAAATCAGTCTCTATCCTTTATTACTTAGTAATTATTTTCTGTAAATTATTACTTAGTAATTTATTACATCTGATTCAGAAAAGCCTTGCCCTCTGATTTATAACAGAAGTTGTCTTTGCTAGTATCATATAATGTTCTCTAATTTATCTACGGTATCTCTGCAGTTGTAAAGAGTTTCTGTATTCACCTGTTCTGATTGCCATGTCAGCAGACACTTTGTTCTAAAAGGGGTCAATAGTTAAATTCACAACCTCCTCTATGGTCTGATGTAGATTTACTGCTTTACAGGGAATACAGACTGTTTATTTTAATACTTCATTTCAGTCCAGTTAATAATATACAGAACAATAATATTTGGCTAAAATTATAGACTATAGAGTTAATTTATGTAAGGAACATTACGTTGTTTACATTTGTGTTTATATTAAAGTATTAAAAATGAAACAGAAGGAGAATTACGTTTTGTGATGATGAATGTGTTTTTCAATTTGAGAAACCCTAGGTCTGAACTTTCCATGCTATTAATGATGTGTGATGAAAAATATTTGATAGATTGTAAGTTTCTATTGATACTGAACTTGGTATATTATGTTGTTGACCCATGGAAATTTATTCCACGTTGTTTTTGAATCACTATTCTTATTTGCTAGACCAATTGGTCACTCTCCCTTTCATTATTCCAATAGGATTGAGACTTTTTTTCCCCAAACCGCAGTGGAAGAGGAGTCAGCAACCATACTCACAAAGTGCCCTGTGTACAATAAACAAATAGAATCTTGATGTTTGTGATTATATGGAACTTAATATTTTCTTATCTCTTGTAGTCTCACAGCCTGAAAATTTAACTATTCTAGTAAAGAGAGAAGCTGTATATGCCTTTTCTTATCACATAAATCTCATTTCATATTGAAGTAAATATGACCCAACACTTATCCATGACATTTTCAAAATGCAAGCATAATGATAGGGTCTTTCCTTTCTTAATGCTATGATTATTTTCTAGCCCTTATATACTTATAGTCTTATGATGGATCAGGATATTGTGACAAATGAGTAAAGAGGCAAAAGATTGCTTCTTCAGTTTCTTTCTCATTTTAGAAAAAAAAATAAAATCAGTGTTTAATGCAGGTTGATGGAATTCCTCAATGATTTACCCATGTCCCCAAATGACATAGTTCCTCATTTCTATGTTTAGCAAAATACAATTTCCAGTCATCTTTTCTCTTGACATCAAGGTCCTAAAAGGATTAAACCCTCCCATAAGCAAACACTGTATAAGTGAGCTTATGTATATAGTCCTCCGTGCTCAGTAGAAGTGGCTAACTCTTTATAATATCAGCATCATCTAGAATGGAAGCACTGAAGTAAAGCTGTGGGACTGATTTTGGTCCTCTCCCCATGCTTTCTTTCTTGGCCCTCACATACATAATCTCTGATATCTTGTCAAAATACAGTTTGCATTGCATAATGTTTTGCTGTAAAGATATTCCTCTTTTTTAACTGTTCTTTTTTCTTATCCTTACATTATGTATGTTCAGGTTGTAAGAAATAACAATCTGCAAAGGCTTTGCAGCATGCCACCCATGATTACAAAATATTTTCCCAAACCAATTCATAAACATGTTGTTTAACCAAAAGACATTCTAATTTCCATGCTATGTTGAGTATAAATATAAATTCAAGGCAGCCAAACTATCCATTTCCAAATAAGAATGTGTACCTACACTCATTAAAAATCATCTGGAAATGTGTATTATTAGCAAATGAGTAAGAAATTTTCACTAGTATAAAATTCCTGCTTTGTATAAAAGCCACACTGGCCATTCAAGTATTTTGAGGTTTTTTTTTTCCCCTATAGTTTTATATTTGTACTTAAAATGATGAATTTAGACTTGAATTTATATTAAAGGAAAATTAAAAGTCACTTCTACCTATAGGGCATTTTTCGAGTGTGCATGTAAATAGCAAAGTGTCCATCTGCAGATCCACCATCAACACTCTTTCTCTCTCTACTCTAAGGAAACAGCTCATGCTTACTAGGGTTTTAGAGTACAATTAACACTCCAAAGGAGAAGCAATACCAGATTTCCTTCAGTTTGTGCCAGTTTGCAAGTTAAAGGTCAAAGGGCAAAGACATAGAACAGGACTCTTCAAGGAAAATTTTCACAGAAGACAATGTTTAAGTTGTTGTTAATGACAGTCAACAGATCAATAATCAAGTTCAAGGCAAGCTGTTCATTGTTTCAAAAGCTAATCCCCTCAAAAGCTGGCTTTCACACAAAGCCAATGTCTGACTCATGGGGTGCATTCCCTCTGACCATCTCTAATAAGTTCACAGCCCAGTGGCTGTAAAGCCTTTCACTGCAAGAAGCAGCTCCTAAAAATCAATAAAGAGGTCTGTCAGTTGCTGACTTTTCTCTAGGAAAAAAATATTGATACAAACCTGCTCTGCAGGTCACATGAAAATGACAATACTGCTGTTAGGACAAATTACACTCAACAATGAAATGCTTTGGTGGTCTCTTGGCTCTGTCAGTGATCAAATGGATGGCTAAATGCCAGAAGCCACACTAACCCTTTGAGAACTATGGTTGACATGCAATAAGTAATGTACTGGAGGATATTCATGCAATCTCAGAGTCATCATTTTAAGTCATTTTTAAAATGGCAATGCTAACTGCATGTACCAAGGCAAATTGAATTTTCATGCAATGGATTTTAAAACAAATTCAATATGTCTAAGGAAAAAAAGACTTAGGCTATTATAATCAGTTCTTCAAATAAAATTTCACTCTTACATTTTCTTAATAAAATACCTTTTTATTTGCCAGAAAAATTTTTGGCAAGTAACATTTCTGTTTACTATAAACGCATTTATGTAGTACCGCAAATTGCTTAAAAATTACATGGGGTTATAGGATATCTGTTTTAAAAACCTGAACTTCTTGAACCTGTGCCTGTTTTTACCATTGCCCAGTTCTATAATTTACTAGATAGCAAGACTGACAATCCTAAGACTCTGAAAGCTGGTCTGATAGTTCTCAAAGGGTTACACCAATGTATTACTAGTGTCACATATCCTTGTAAAATAACTGTCACTTTAAACCACTTTGGAGACATACTGCTTCTTGCTCTTAATGAATATTCCTGACAGACCCATGAAAGGCCTGGGGCAATGGCCTAATACAACTTGGGGAGATTATCACAATGATGTAGGGGTCAGGTGGTAGGAAGGGGATTAGAAACACTTCAAAACAATCAAAAGGTCCTGTTTGAATATAGCTATGAATATAAATGTGATGAAACATTGAGGACATAGCTGAGAACAGCTGTATAAAACGAAAAATGGATGTATTATTAAGGCTGTTACTATATTGCAGATATTTTGGCCCCTTGTTTGTTGGAAAATGGCTGTCCCAACAGTCTAAAGTCCTGCATGTGTATTCCAGATCTCCCACCTGACAAAAATGAAGTGTAGGAGACTATCCATAGCAGTCAGAGAGCTATCTTCTTTGGAGACAAAGCTGTTTTGGGTCTTCACACTTTCCTGAAAGTTCAATTGTGGGTTTTTTGTTTAACCTTTTTTTCTTTGCTTTAAAGCAAAAAATTCATGGGTTTTTCCATTTTGCTTTTTTCCCCCAGATATGGGCTCAGACTTCAGAAGGAAAATAATATTAGAAACCTTTAAGAAGAATCTTTTCTTCTTTTTTTCCTCTTCTTTAGTTAATCCTGAAAATTTACTGGGCATTGAGCGTGCAGAGGAAAGGCCTAGAACTGAATGACAAAGAAAGACAAAGGACTGAAGAACGGCAGATACTGTGCATCATGGAAGCTTCCCCATGAGTGTATTTCCACTCATGTGCAGGACCAGCAACCCTCTGGGTTTGAAAGGTCAGCCCTGAATCAGGCTGCCACAAGCCTGCTCCTAGCTAGGAAACAGCATAACAGCTCTTGTCTTGAATCTCAAGTTACCACAAACTCCTGGAAAAGAAAGAAAGAAAAAAAACCCTACATCACACCCACTCTTGCATAGAGCGTTTACAGTACAGTATGTGGCGGGGTGTTCCTTTCCTCTTGAACTGGAACACAGTGTAAACCAATACAAGGAGGCATAAGGCCAAGATGCAGGGAATGACAATAGCTATGGCTTTCACAGTGCTGGCTGTGTTGTCCAGTTTGATGACAATGTCTACATCGTCTGGTGGGCTGTGTCCTTCTTTATCTCTGTCTGTTGGTCCATCACAGCCCATAAAATCCTTGAGGATGGATCTGGGATATCCAGGTTCTACTTTGAGTATCTGGTTGTTGAATTTCCAGTACTCCTTTCCTTTGTAGAAATACGTAAAGCCTAGAGGGGGAAACACAAACACATAGGTACCACTTATTTTGAAAGTGTATATGTATAGAAATTCTTATTAACTTACATTAGGCTACTTTTTAAAAGATGTATTTATTTTTTTAAAGATTTTATTTATTTGACACAGAGAGCACAAGTAGGCAGAGCGGCAGGCAGAGGGAGAGGGAGAAGCAGGCTCTCTGCTGAGCAGGGAGCCTGATGTGGGGCTCGATCCCAGGACCCTGGGATCACGACCTGAGCCAAAGGCAGTCGCTTAACCAACTGAGCCACCCAGGCGCCCCTAAAAGATGTATTTTAAGGCCCTTCCATTTTGGTAGGAAGAAAACATTATCTTCAGCTTAGCGCTCTGTTGAAATAAATCTAGAGTTGTGCCCTCTAATGCTTATCTATGGAAAACTTCGCCAAGAGTCAAAATATCTATAGAGGACAGCTGAAAGATCATGCTGAACACATCTACTCCTAGTCTGGAAAGAGAGCTTTACCCTATTTCTTACTTGTAAGGTTGCAGTTTCAGATTTACCTATCAGGGTGATAATACCAACCTATACTGAAATATGCTGAAACAACCTTATGAGTTGAAGCACTAGGTCCCCGCAGACTGCTGTTGAAGACATTGTACAATGCATTATGAGGAGGCCACTCCAGGAAACACCTCAGGGGAAATTTCTAATCATCTTAGTATTGGGAGCAGTTGTACTTAAACACTAGGTTTGCTTTTGTCATTTGGACAAGAAATCATAACAATTCATAAGTCATGAAACTATAGAGATGTTTTGTCTGCTAGGAATCTTAATAAGTAAATAGGTATTTAGGGTATTTTCTGCACTAACCTTGTTTCTGACTCTAGATCATACCCATTTTGTCCCTACTCCTTTTGCCCTTTTCACTTAACATTCTTATTTACTTATATAATAAAGGATTAATAGACTATAAATAAATCTATAATTCTAACTTTAATAGTTCCAACTAACATATTCCATGGGGGAGGATGTAGTATGTGGAAGGTTCATGTAACTAGCAATACATATGACTTATGTTCCAAAATTATGGATGCAGATAATAGACTTTGAAAGCTTGTGACAAACTACAAATATGTGTGTTTTTCTTAGGACTATTCCCTAAATTGTTGTTTTTGTTGGGAGAAAAAAAAAGTTTTTTTCATCCAGAGCTGCTTCATGTCAAGTTTCTTTGTGACTGCACTCATTGGACTTAATTCCTGCTTTGAGACAAACTTCAAGAAACCAAGAAGAAATATTTTAATGTTATCATTACTTAAAAACTATATTTTGGGAGCTATTTTGAATAGTATGCCTACTTTAGGGTTAGTAATCATTAATGAGGGTTTTCTTTATCCTGTATTATTAAACACTTATTATGGAAGAAGTATTGTGTTTAAAGCTCAGTAAAGACATATTTTAATCCTCATAACCACTCTGTCAAGTAGAATTATTTACCTATACTTTTCAGGCAAAGATACTGAGGCTTAGAGATAAGATAATATGTCTAAGTCCTGGTGAAAGCAGAATTTAAATCTTGATCTAGTTCTAGACCTGAACACTTAATGATTTTTCTAAAAACCGTGTCCTTTAACAAACGCTTCCTGATTAAACATCACAGGCTGTGATAGGTAAAACCCATACAACAAAAAACTGACACCTTTCAAAAAATTTCATCTAGGCTAGACCATCACTTCAGGTCACTTCATTTTGGAAATCATTCTGTTTAATGCCATAAAAATCTGCTGTTGCTTTTCATTTCGAAGGGCAGTTTTGCAATCAGAGTAACATGCCAAGTGAAAACAGGTGATGTAGATTCAAATATTTCAGCAGGGAGCTGGTATTTGATCACACTAATGAAATCCAATGTAATTACTCAACAAGCTTGGATGAAGAAATGTTGAGGACTTGCCAAATAATAGTACATTAGACAATCACTGTTGAATAATGGCATTGATTTAGAATTAAACAGACCTTCAAAACAGGTGAACATATTTCTTATATTTATAAACTGGAAACCAACAGCTGGAAGGGTCCTCATCTTTAATTTTTAGTCAAAGCTAATTACTGTGAACCTACTTGGTACCGTACAAAAGTTCACAAGTTTCCATTTTCATATTTATGCAGGCCAAATTTTATAGTAGCACACTCCATATACAGGAGTAGAATTCTAGTTTACTGAATATACTTGTTAGAGATAACAAGTCTAGTCAGTAGAAGTTAAATAATAAAAGTATTTGAAAATAAGTGCCCTGCAATAGAAATCTGTCAAACCTTAATCCCACAATATTCATCTCATTCAGTAATGAGAAATATGAAATAGCCATTGGTGGAAGAAATGTTTATGTACTCATTTTTTTTTCCTTTTTAAAAATAGCTTTGATGATATACTCTTGTAGATGTTATGCTTATTAAGAATAGCAACTTCAGATGAATTCTTACCCGAATTACTACTTTTTGAGAAATCCTGAGAAGGAATTCAGGGGGGCTGTAATGTATTATGTGATCACTTTTTTTCTCCCATATTTGACCAGATTTTACTGGTGACTTTTCTATTGTGTAGTCCTAAAATGTAATGAGACACTGTCCATCATAATTGTCTTGTTCTAACTTACTAGATGTCCCTGGATGACAATGTCTGTGTGTTCTCTGTCTTCCACTTTTATATGTTTATTAGTAAGAAGTTAATTAGTATTTAATAAATGTGAATGAATAAACTGACTCTTGTGGAAATATGTATTTAAATCACACTTGTACATTTTAACAGAATGAGAGTGGGGAGTAGGGACTACAGCAAATCAACAGAATCAAGAGTCAAAACTAATTTAATAGGCTAAAATAGTCAAAACTATTTTAACAGCAATCAGCAAGATGAAAGGCAACAGTTTGAAAAGTAGAGTCTTGTATTTGCCTTAAGATTGCATTATCTAAGGAGGGAATATAGAATACCTAGGTGGTATGGCTTGACAGCAATTAACATAGAAACAATTTGAAGGAGAGGGAATGAAGCAATTCTTTACTACAACTTTAGTATATGTTAAAAACTCACTGTTGCTTAAAACATGGTCAAATAATGAGTGCTAAGAAGAAATCATTCCACTATATTCTGCATGAGTCAGATCTCATTTAGATTGTTGTATTTTCAAGGACTAAAAGTAAAGAGAAAAATGGAAAATACTTAAATTAAGATGGTTTTACAGGTGAAAAGCAGGAGGATGATGGCTCAGGAAGCTACATTCTGAGAAAGCCTGGATTTGTGTAGTATGACAAGATGAAAAATTTAACCAGACATGACAGATAATCAGTTACTTTAATGATATACTGTAGAGAAAGGTGTTAACTTTTCCTCTTTGGAGATAGTGCATTGCAGCACATTCAGTAGGGCTAGATTGTTCTAGTTTCAAACCTCAAATATATAATCTTACCTTTTTTATGATTATGAATAAGTTACTTAAACTAACTGATGCCAACTTCCTCATTTATATATAATAATAAATGACATAAAAAGGTATTTATGTTGGACAATTAAATTAGATAATGACTTTATGTAGTATATCTGATATATGATAGGCATTCAATAAATAGCACAAGAATTCATATTTCATTTGTAAAGATGGCAGAATTAATAGCAGTAGGTGTATATGGAGGCACATTCCACTTTAATATGAAAAATACCCTTCAAAATTCTATAGCTGAGTTGCTGAATTTGTGGACTGCCATTTGTTTGTTTAAGATTATCACTAGGAGAAGATTCCAAGGAAGAAATTCCTGTATCAATAGAAGGATAGACCAGAGAAAACCTTCAGTGTTCAATCATCTCCAACTTTATGACCATCAAATTTCATGTGTATAGAGTTACAGGGGATTACTCTGAGTCAAAATATAAATATAAATGCATTTACTTAGTAATTTGAACTTGTTATCTTTCATACACAAACCTAAGGGAAGAAATTGTGTAAAGTATGAATTTAAGGTAAAAAGCTACAAGCATGAAATTTGTAGATAATAAAAAGTGGAGAATTTGCTGTTGATAGACCAAAGCCTTCCAGATTCTTTGATATTGCTATTGTACAGAACAAGGGTTTGAGACAGATGAGAGATCGCCTCCAGGGAGGGAATTTTTAGAATAATGGGAGGGATAAAATTATTTATACAACTAATATTTATTGAATGTTTAGTATGTGACTGCCTTCAAACAGTTTGCACTAGAGAGGATAATGAGCATATAAGCTGATCATTGTAATATGAGATTTGAGTACAAGGGATAGGGTAATCACAAAAGGATATTCAAGGAGAATATTCTGAAAGATGAAAAGTGAGCTCAGTGTTGAGGGATATCAAACAGGGGGCTGGAAAGGACCCGGAAAGGTCCAGAAGACATAGATATATTGCAGTTTCATCTGCAGTTTGTATTCATTTGTAAGCATTGATTTTCCCAAAATGCTTCATTTGTCAGTATTTTACAAAGTTATTTTTTGCTATGTGAAAAGAAATCATGAAATTCTGAATATAAGAAAACTGTTATTTTTTTTTTTTTTTCTTTTGTAATTGACCCTTGATGTGGGAAGATCTTGGGGAAATGCTCTTGGAAATATGATCTTGGAAGTCTCAGTCCTGTTTTGTACAACACATAAAATTTTCACTTTTGTGAAATTGATGGTATTTTGTTAATTGTATTAATATAACATAAAGAGAATACAATTACATAGTCTAATTTAAAAATTTTGATATGTTGCTTCATAGTTGTTCAGAAACTATTTATGAAAGAGTTGATTCAATTTAGAATATACTTCTCGGCACAATTTCACTGATTTATACTGAATGAGTATTATTAAATATTCAGATGGAAAAGAATATGAAATATCATGGGGCAAGGGTAGCAAGATTTTTTTTGTTATTTTTCTATAAATATGATTTATTCCCAGAGAATCTAAATCAAATCTCAGATATTAGTGGCCTTGTATATAGAAACAGGGAAAATGAAAACCATTAATGTGGTAAGGAATTAAGATTATGTGTATTATGTCTACTTTTTCAATCTTTTGAAACAATTTATTACTTATTTTAAAAGTTATTTTTATCTTAAAAGATAAACTCAGGTTAGAAAATTAATAAAATAAAGACAAGAAATAAGAAACTGTTAACCAAACTTCCTAGAGTTAATAACACTGCAGTAGATCTTGGTTGAATTTTCTTTGCACTATTTTTGTACGGAATGTGATAACTTTTATTGAAGACAGTCTAGAGCAGTGCTAAGACTTCTGTAAATATTAGCTAGAGTTGGTTTTATCTGGGCTTTAATAACCCCTTTATTCTAACCTCAAGAAATCTCCTCCCTCTAGTTTCTTCCTTGGTGACACCTATAATTTGTAGGGGTTATCTTAATTTTCTGCCTCCATGTGATCATTTTTCACATTTTTTTTTTCATTTCTTGGTCCTTTTCATCCTCATCTGCATAGTTGGAGTTTTGGGCCCTATTTTGATCTGATTAATTGCCTCCAATGTGACTGCAGTGTTACTTCCTTCATTTTCTTATTGATATCCTTTTGACAGATACGTTTTCTTCTTTATCTGTCCTCTTCTATGGATTTTTGCTTTTAAACACATACAGGCTCTGTATCTTAACTTGGTCCTTTAATTTTCTGAACCAATAGAATATATACAAAATCTATAATTCTCTACAAGTGCTATGATCAGGGCTTCAAGGTTCTTTTTGACTTTGCCTCTCCCTACAGCATGTTACTTGTGGGGCACTATCATACAGAATGTAGTATGTGATTTCATATAACAAGGGTCAAAATACAGTTTGTGTACTTTGACTTTTCTGACTGGTGTTTATTGGTCCTGGGTCACAGTTCCTTCAGGTTTACACTCAGTGTATAGTTGTCTTAAACTCTGGCAATATGCTGATCGTTAATTATAATCTTCAATGATGGTGTTTATTTTTCATTTTCCTATTTCTTCAGTTAAGTTTTTTGTTCTTTCCTCACCTGATATATTTAATTTTGTTTTTGCAAATGATGTTTACTTTATTTTTATTGCATATGTTATAGACTTTTCATGCTATTGAGGACCGGTATGGTATGTAATTTTCTTATGGTTCCTATTATAAATCATTTGATGGATCAGGTATGTTTTTTCTATGTATTTCAGAATGATTTCTTTCCTTTGTTCTGGAATACTGTGTATAAATCCTATTTTGAATTATTATTATGGTTTATTCCTATTTACTGCTTTCTGAATGAGGAGAGAAATGTTGAGACTTTACATATGCCAACAGATAGGAGTATATGGGTTTTCCCTCACTTGGCTAACTTTCCACTTAGGATCTGGCTGAAACTCAAATCTTGAGATGGAGAGCAAGGAACGTGGGCAGCTCTCTGCTCTGCTTCTGGCTATTAAGCAATCATACAGTCACTTAGTCTGATTGTATTCAGTTGGGATCTTCCCTGTTTGCTGATACATGAAAAATTAAAATCTTCAATGTGCACAATTGCCAGGTGTCTTTGTGTCTCAGCCCACACTTACAACATACCTTCCTTGTGACCAGCTCCTGTCCTATGTATGTCTGTTACTAACTCTATAGGAATTTTAATAGAAAAATAGGTGATGTTACTTTGAAGGTATCCACACCCACCATTTTTAAAAATTGCCTTTATTTTTTTCCCATAAACTAAAATAAGCTGAGGTTAAAAAACATCTAGAGCATAATATTAAACATAAATCTAGGATGGAAAGTTCATGTAAATATAATACATTATAGCCCTAGTATGGTACTCCCTAATGATTTAATTTAACATAATGAAAAATTAGAATTCATTGTTGAAATATTTAATAAACTCATGAAAAATATAATGCACATGCTGCATACCATTTTCTTTGTGCACAAAGGCTCCTTGAGGAGATTCAGGGATACCTTTCCAGACCGTGATTGGTTTGGGATAGCCAGGATCCATGGTCTTCATTTCTTCACTGTATCTCCAATACCTAAAAAGGATAATAAACAAAACAAAACAAAAAACACGTGCGTAGGGAAGGAAATTATGTATACACAGTAATAGCTAACATTCATTAAATCCTTGCTCTATGCTATCTGTTAATGATTTACAGGACTGATTAAAAATGCTAGAAAAACATTGGACACAAACAGCATTCATTCTGTTTCCTTTCTTGCACATGTTAAAAGTGGGTATTGTTATTGTATATTTATTCAGTCTGCTAAAATTAATTTAAAAATTCTAGCTAAATACATTGTGTTTGCTAAATATATTTACGATTCAAAAAGGTATCACCAACCTATGGATAAATAAGAGGTTTCATGACTTTTTATAAATCTTTCTTTTTTTTAAAATTTTTTGAAGACTTTATTTATTGGAGAGAAAGAGCAAAAGCAGGGGGGAGCGGCAGGCAGAGGGAGAAGCAGGCTCCCTTGCTGAGCAAGGAGCCTGATGTGGGGCTCGATCCCAGGACCCTGAGACCATGACCTGCGCCGAAGGCAGACACCCAACCGACTGAGCCACCCAGGCGCTCTTTTATAAATCTTTCTTAGGCAGCAGAGCACTTTTGTTTTTTTGGAATCATCTTTAGCAGAATCTTGATTCATTTAATTCATTCACTTATTCATTTAAGAAATATTTACTGAGTACCTTTTATGTTCCTAGCATATTTTAGGTATCAGAGATATAACTTTGAACAAAACAGATATTCTCCAGCTCTCATCAGTCTTGTATTTTAGGATATGTACGGATTATAGATAATAAAACAATTTATTAGTAAATACATACTGTGATAGGAGGTGGTGAGATTAAGAAAACAAGCAGTTAAAGTTAGCTAGGAATATGGAGAAGCAATTTTAATTAGTGGACAGAGAGGTCCTTTCTTTATCAGACATTTGAGCAGAAAGAAGTGAGGTACAACATTTATAGTTTTTGGGAGAAATACTTTCCAGGTAGAGGAACTAGTTAATGAAAGTTACTGTGGCAAGCACAAACTTGGAGTACTTAAGCATCCACAAAGAGGTTGGGGTGACTAGTTTATTCTCATAAACTAAAATAAGCTGAGGTTAACATATGGAAGAAAAGGTCAGAGTGGGAACCAGAGTCTAAGATTAGATAGACCTTTATACAATAGCAAAGCCTCTGGTTTTCCACTAAGGGATATGTGAAGCCAACACAGATTTTGAGCAGGGGAGCTTCAAGATATGGCTTATGTTTGAAAGGAACATGCTGGCTGCTGTGAGTTAAATAGACTTAAGGAGGTAAAAATAGAAGCAGGGATACCAATTAGGATGTCACTGCAATAACCTTGGACTAGAATGTAAGCTGTAGAGTTAATGATAATTCAAGAGATTGAGATTGGGATATATTTTGAAGGAAAATCCCAAAGAGCTTACTAATGGATTGAATGCAGGATGCGAGAGAAGGAAGTTGAGCATAACTCAAGAATTTGGGGCCTGAACATGTGGAAGAATAATGTTGCCATTCAGTAAGATAAAGAAATGGGGGAAGGTAAGTTGGGTTGGTTTGAAGAATCATGAGTTTGATTTTAGATATGTGAATTTCAGGTACCTGCAAGACATCAAAGTGAAGAATTGTTGATGAGGCAATTGGGTATATTGTAGACTTTAGGGCAGGTCTTGACTGGAGTCCTTAGTGTATAGATAGGAGAACAAATAAAAGGAAAACCTGCCAAGAGTCAGAACTCTCAGAACCCCATGCCTTCACAGGGTGGCCCATGAGCCACTCTCACAGAACTGCTAGACATCCAATGAATAAACTGTAATCAGACCTACTTTGGATCACTCATTATTATTTAAAATGTTCTAAGAATTAAATGAGTTTATGTCTTGAATGTTCAAAAGGAATGACAAAACTGGGGTGAAACCATAGACAGTTTCCTGTATATTGCATACTTTAAGGCAGGCATATGATCTATGCATTATCTATCTCATTTAATCACAACAAACATATGAGATAGTCATCATTGTCCCCTTTTAAGAGAGGAGAATTCTAAGAGGACAATGAGGGTTAGATTTATAACCAGTTCTATCTGATTTTAACAGTCCCTATTCTTGGGGCACCTGGGTGGCTCAGTTGGTTGTGTCTGCCTTCGGCTCAGGTCCTGAGATTGAGCCCCACATCGGGCTCCCTGCTCAGTGGGGAGCCTACTTCTCCTTCTCCCTCTGCTGCTCCCCCTGCTTGTGCTCTCTCTCTGTCAAATAAATAAATAAAATCTTTTTTTTTTTAAAAGTCCCTACTCTTTCCTCTGTGCACACCAAATATGTTTTCCAAATTTAAATTTATGTAACAACCTTTTGTCTTTTTTCCCACTAAACATCTCTTAACATCTGCTAAAGCTAGTGTTTTACCAACACAGGTTTGGGAAGTGACATACTTAATTCATTATCTTGGGATTAGGCACTTTGGCTGAAATCAGAAAAAAACAGTTTTTATGGTCTTTTCTGGATTTTTTTTTATTCTAGGCCTACGGAAGATTCTTTATCTACAGAATTGTGGGGTTTTGTACATTAGGTTTTGCTATAATTCCCTAGAAATATCCACTCAAGTAACATTGGAATATTAGCAACTCTTCCATTTTCAGTGTTTAAATGGAAAAGAGAAAAATATTGTTTCAGAAAGTATTCCAATAAGTAACCACAAGGCAGATTTTATCCAAAAAGATAAATACCCTCTTATAGGTATTTGTTGCAGATTCTTATCACAAGAAGATGAGAACAGATCCGATGGAAAGGTCAGGAAAAGCTTCATGGAGAAGACTGAGCTAATATAAAGGTAACTGGGCCTGTCTTTCTGAAGACAAGTAGGCAGAATCATTAGCGTATTGTTCTACCAGTTTTGAAGTATATTTCTTTCACATTTAGTTCATGGGATCATCTGCTTTAAAAATATTTGTGAATAATCTTTTTCACAGAACATTCTGTGATGAATATAGAATGGTTAATGTGGTTGAGATCACACTCAAAATTTCAAGATATCTTCTCTCAAGTAAATATTTCAGTGGGGTTCACAGTATACGACAACTAGTTCCTGCACTTGACCACAAAGAAAACCTCTCAGAGAGAACTAGTCAAATGCCTTATTTTTGGATTCTAAGAAACATTTTTTTCCACATTTTACATCACTAAAATCAGAATGCACTTTACAACAGATACTGTATCAAAGTTTACTTGGTAGGGTTTTTCCCTCCATGATAGATTAAATAATGACATATTTTACAATAAATACCATTTTTAGATATAAGCTATAACTTAAAGTAAGCTTTTACATATTGTTAAGCCAGAAGTTTGGAACAATTAAAAATCCTGGGGACAATGGGATCACACCCTGTATGTGATTTAAAAAGATTAACTACATATTTAGAAACCAGTGTTGTTCTCTGAGGAATAGTTGTAACAACGTTCTTGTAACAATACCAATAATTTATGTAGGCTTTTCTAGCTACAAAGTAAATTTATACACATACATTGTTTTATTTTTCATTTAAATCCCTCAACAATCTTTTATATTGCATATTACAGTGTTTTCTATGATGACGTCCTAAACATAGATTTAGTATGTATGGTCACTCAACTCAGTCAATGCTAGAGCATTAAAAGATAATGACTTAATCACATTTGCTCTTTTGAAATGTTGCAGAGTTGAGACCCTAATGCTGTTGGATTCATAGTTTAGCATATTACTGTTATTGTTTCCCTTGGCGGGGCATTCTTACTCTTAGTGCTGTCTCTCAAACTCTTAAGATATATTGCTTGAGTCTAATTTCCTTCTTTTCTCCTTCTGTTCATTCATAGATCCATTGACCCATCAATACTTTTGTGAGCCAGGCACATAAGATTCATAGAAATCACATTTCAAGAAAATATAAATGGAATGTGAATTTTATTACACTCTCTTGTAGGAACATAATTCTGGTATGAATTCATCAGAATTTTTCTCTTTCATCACTAACAGATAATGCAAAACTATAATTTGGGATCATTTCACAATCTCTGAAATACTCAACACAGGCCTGGACCCTCAGGTTATCTGCTGTGTGGCAGCTTTGATATATATCCAGTAAACATGAATGTGATTAGAATCATCTAACTATATTCAGAGCTGCGTTATAAGAGGTGCTGAGGCTTATTCATAAATACAGGTTTGCATTTTAATTTCCAACATATTTGAACATATTTTGGTATAAACAAAAAGCTCATCCCACTGATTTTTTTTCTTCCTGAAAAATGAGCTTAGGGGTTCATTGAGAAGCATATTAACATATTCAGATGAAACCTGTGTAAATGAACCATTTGGTGGGGTACAACTTGGATATTATAATGGAAAAAAATTGAAATTTTGGCAGGAGAGTCAGCAAATGATAAAAGCTATTTTAAGTTCTTTTTCTTCTCATATATCCGTTATCTCTACTGTAGAATTGACTTTAAACTGCTGATTCTTTGAGAAAAGCACTGTGAATCAGTGCTTCAAAATAAATTATAATTAGAAATGAGATTTATTCATCATTTTTTTGACTTGATCATGGGTTATATCCATAAGAGACAAAAACTGTCCATGTAATGGTATAACGTTTTGTTAAATCCTTTCTCTGCTAAGAAAAAAAAAGTTATAGAAAATTTTAGAATGCCATACTTTAATGGGATGTTGCTGGATACTGAATTCATACTGAACAAAAAGTGGCTCCAAGGGTTATTTCACATGACACAGCCATTTCTTCATCCTACTTTGTCTCATTTCTGTACTACAGAGCCAAGACCACTTGCTTCTCTTAAGTTACACAAAATATAGGACCATTTCTTTTTTTTCATACCCAAGTAGTTATACAAAAATCCCACTTTTCAGAAACATTCTTAAACATGCAACAGAATTGGAAATATTAATTTACACTGTGTTGGATGATTTTAAAAACATATTGAGTAATTACTTCATAAACACACAAGTTAAGCTGGGAGAAATAAATACGTTTTTCTGTTTGACTGTTAGTGGTAATAATAATAAAAACCAAAGTGGATCTAAATTTTGTCTTTCGTTGAAAATATCTTAAAATTCAAGCTTAGAATGAAATATGGCAATAGAGTCCTGTATATATTTGTGAGAAGATGCTGAGAGATGATTTAGAAACATAGCATTTTAGAGTTAAATGCTAGGAGGATCCAAAATGTATCCAAGTATCAAATTATAGTGTATTAAGAAAAGGGCAAGTAGGAATCTGAGGAACTGAGTTCCAGGCTATATGTAAAATAGTGAAATAGTGGAAATTTTAATCTGACTTTATAGATCTATTTATAAAGAGCCATCATTTCAACTATTCTTCTTTAGCTAGCTCTTAAATATTTAGGAGATTTGATGTAGGCCCCTGCTTTTAATACAACTTATATCAATCACTGCCGATGTATACCTCAGACTGATCTTTCCACTGAGAAGCAAACTCAATTATCCAAATATCTACTTGATTCCTCCAGTTGGTGTGTAAAACCGGCATCTCAATCTAAAGATGAACATTTCAATCCTTTAATCCCTTTAATCCCTTTTCCCCAATACTCCTTCCCCTGTCTGTCCTATTTCCAGAAATGGCACCATCTACTCAATTTTTCAGGTGAAAAACCTAGAAGTTATCTTTAATTTTCTTTTTTCTCACCCCTAAGATCCAAGCCATAACAAAGACTTGTTCTGATTACATTCAAAATATATCCTGTACCCACCCTTTTTGCTCTATCTCCACTACCACCATCATATCCCCCTGTACTACTCCAACAACCTGCCAGTTACCCTCTTGGCTTCCACTCCTGAAGCCCATTCTTCACACAGAAACCACAGTGATGTTTGTGAATACATAAGATCATTTCCCTTTCCTGTTGAAAATCCTCCAATGCCTTTCCATTGTACTTAAAATCCAACATCTTTGTTATGGTCTATAGGGCCCCAAATAATCTGGTCCCTGTTTACCTATTTGACTTCCTTTACCACTTAACTTGCTATTCTCTAGCCACAATGTTTTAACTGATTTAAACATTGCGGTATTATTGCTTTTGCACTACTGTCATCTGCCTACAATATATTGTTCCAAACAGCTTCATGTGGCTGAAACTTCACCCATTCAAATCCCCACTCTAGTGTCCCCTTCATAAGTGAAGCCTTCTCTGACTTCCACACTAATTTTCTAACTGTTCCTTACTACCCATGAGTCTCTATCACATTATCACTTTACTTTATTTCTTTGTAGCATTTCTCAACGTTAAAGTTTCAGGCTCATTTACTTGTTTACTGTTTACTATTGTCTCCTTTAATAGAAGTTAAGTGCCATGGGAGCAGAAGCCTTGTGGTCCTTTCTAGCACAGGTCACATCATATGTGCTCAAAATATTTTTTTGAATAAATGAATGAGGGCTATGCCAGGACTATTATAGAAATCTTAAGGAAGTAGGAATTAGAGCTACTGAGAATGGAAAAGGCTGTCTCACAGTCATACTGTCACCATGGGCAGTTGGGTTAGAGTAGGATGAATTCCTGTGGAGTGTAATTGAGTGTGTCTACACATTGGGTGGGACGTGAACAAGATGCAGGGCTGACATATGGTAGCACTTGGACCAAATCTAATTTAAAGCTGTGCTTTGTTTGTCTAGAAAATTAAATAAATGATTCTGGTTTTGAATGCTTTTCTAGTGTATTTGTACTTTCCAGCTCACTACAGTACCCATCACTCCCTACTATTGCCTTCCATATTATTGCTGTATCGAGTAGTTTATTTCTTATTTGTCCAGCCCTTTAAAGCAATTGAGTTTTTTTACACCTGGACTATATTATCTCTAAAACCCTTTCTAATCTCAGCCTTGGAGAAATAGAAACCTATTAATCAACACCCACCCCCCCCAACCCACCCCACCACCCTTCTTAAGCAGAAAGAATGCAGTGGGAGAAGGAGAAGTAAGGACAAAACAATTTTCAGTGTTTTCTCTCAAAAATATACATAGAAAATAAATAAAACATTAAAAATTGGTAAGTATTAAAAATATAGAGTATCTATAAGGAAGAAAGATACACTGGATTTGTATATAAAAGTGACAGCCAAATTATTGTTTGTATGTTTCAGTTAGGTAGTTTAATGTCTTGTCCATATACTTTTAATCTAGAATGAATATACTGATAAATTGTGATTTTGGAATTATAGAATTATGTGAATATGAAGTAAACTGCTTACAAAACATCTATGACTTATGAAATCTTAACATAAGATCACACACATGGAAATTAATTGGATTCCTGCTTTTAAATATTTTTAAACCTATAAAACCAATTATTTAGGCAGAGCTCAAAGTATTTCTTCTATATATTTTGTTATATTTGCATGTAGCTTCTCAAGTAGGAAACAAATGAACTAAAACTCCTTTTCCCATTTACTATTGCCTTTATTTTAGTATGAATTTGGTATCTAACCTTCATTGATTTCACTGATTTGAGGCAGTGCACATTTAGTTTCTAAACTTAATTTTTTCAGTAAGTCCTAAATTTTTATATTGGAAACATTTTAAAAGTAATACCTACATGTGTGAAAAAAATAGGCTATCTGATAATAGAGTGGCAGTTTTTATTACCATCTGTGAAATCCTGTGAAAACTGTTGCATGAAAGCTAAGCTTCATGTTCTGTCCTGCAGAAGTGTGTTTTGTCAGCCTTTTGTTTCTACACCTTTCTCCAAAAACAAACAAAAAAACCCCAAACAATAAAAAACTGTTTATTGAACCTGGTCCTGAAAGAGTACATTCAAGCAATTAAATCAGCTGGGGACTTAAACTCTAACAACCTTCAGGGTTGTTATTTTAAAGAATATGTTCTAAATCTGCAGATTTATTTTCATTAGTGGTCACCATGCTGTAGCCAACAATTTCTTCATTCTTCTATCATACTCTATTACACTTATATCTTGCTGAGAATCATATACTTTCTTGTGGCTATAAATAGCATCTTCTCCTTTAATAAAATTTTTGTTTGATAGACCTTTTTTGTTTTGTGATTTTGTAATCATTTAGCACCTTAGTTTCATGATCGTGTATTAAAACATTTTGTTATAGAAGTATATACAAATCAAATATATAGAGAGCTAGCAACAGAATAAAATGAAAAGTATACATTCTTATCCATGGAGAAAAATTATAGGAGTTTTTGGTTCACAGATAAAGCTCAATGTTTGAAATCAATGTTAAAAATTGCAAATTGTAAAATAAAGTTTATATACTTACATATTTTTCTCCTAAAGTTGGAGACATTTTATAAGGTTATACTATGCGAAGATTATAAGGCAAACTCAATACTAGGTAGATGGGCATTAAAGCCTGTTGTTCATATGTGTGTTTATGTGTAAGGGTGTGTATTTTTAATTTACTATAAAACGCAGTAAAATGCATACTTAAGTTCTTCTACATACTAATAAAAATTATATTGAGTATCACATTTGACCCAGCTAGTAATTGTGTAATTAAAAATTTATTTTTCATCTCTATGACTTTTTCTATCTAATATTAATTTAAATTAATAAAAAATATAGACTTCAAGTTACATTTTATGTGTAATTTATATCAAAGGTGCACAGGAGTGGAGCTATGTATGCCTAGTAGATGCTACAAGTCATAAGACTAACAGTTCACTTAATTTTTACTAATGCCATAAAAAAAAGGAAGGGAAAGGAAAGGAAAAGAAATGAAAGAGAGTTGCAGGGAAGGGAGTTTACACTTTAAGCTAAGTGATTGTTTGACTTGTTGGTACCTAAATAATTAGCTTCTTAAGAAATAGAACTCATGACTAAAGTGAAATTGTTTGAAAACATTTACAATTAACAGCATGCAAAGTATAAAAATTTAACTTTCAATATGAAAGCAAAAAAAAAAAAAAGCCTGTGTGAAAATGTGTTTTTTAAATAAGTTAAGTAAAATGACAAGAAAATGCATTGCAAGATTACATATACATTGCCTACACAGATTTATAGGCATGTTAAGCTTATGCAGAAGAGGAAGAATATATACATTCATAAGAAGGTCATATTATTTAGGTATATTACAGGAAGATTTATCTTGAATATTATTTAAAAATATGTTAAAATATTTTTGATTTCATTAATTCTTATCTTTATATTCACACAGATTCTTAACAGTACATGTCTATTATAAAGTAGAAATATTAACTTCTCTAAACATTAACTATTTTCCTCATGTGAAATGTGTACTGACCTGTCCCCCTTGAAGAAATAGGTTTTCCCAACATCTTCCCACCAAATGGCTGAATCAATACCATGAGGGGGAATTCCACTTCCAAGAGTAATCAAGTCATGAGGATAACCAGGTTGAAGAGTTGTATCCTTAAACACCCAGTATTTGTTACCTGTATGAAATAAGTGCAAATGCAGAATACAATAATTTAATATCAGAAATTAGACTATATCTATTAATACAGTGAATTTAAAGTTATTTTACATGAAATCCACAAAATAAGTAGTAATCACATTTGGAATACAGATGTTATTATTAGAAGATTATCTTCAAAAGTGGATAAAATGAGTAACTATTTAATAATATAATTAGAATTTGTGAATTAATTTAAGAAATAACAAAGATCTACAACTTGCCATAATACAACAATTCTGAATCAAGAATCAGGATTTTTCCTCTAGGAATTAGACATGTTATTTTTATTTAAGGCTAAATCATTACTGTGTTTTGTGCATCCTGTATACGCTCAGGTTGCTTTATTGTTATAACCTCTACTCTGTTGAAACACATCCTCTAAGCTGGTCCTCTCCTATTACAAACATTCACAAGTTCCTTTAATCTTAGAAAGTCATCCTCCTTTGACCCTATGCCCTTTTTTAACTGTTATACTATCCCTCTCTTTAATTAGAGTGATAACCTAGGGGAGGAGAATTTTAACCCTAACCTTGTTTGGAATTGCTAGAGCATGGCGATATTAAGAAGACAAACTTTAGTCAGTTTTATTGCTGTTTTGAAATTACAAGACACTTCCTCATGTCCTATACCTGGGGCAGACTGTGCCTACCACTCCCCTCTTTGGTATGCCTCTCAAGTAGTCTATAACCATTCCTCACTCCACTGAAAATTGATTTAACACCTACTTTCCACTGAAAACTTTTGTTCTAGAGTCAGCAATGTCTTTCAAGGAAATAATTCTCTACCCAGTTGACACAATTGCTCACTTAAATCACTTCTCTCTCTAAGCTGCTAGAAAACCATTTTGGGGGGTGGGTTGTCTTTTTTCTCCAGCTGCTCCATTCTGGGCTTCCCCCCCCACCTCAGTTCTTAAATGTTGACATTTCCTAGGGCTTTGTTCTCTGACCTCCTCTCTTCTTATTCTAAATCAGGAGGTAGGAGGTAAGGGTAGGGGTCCCAAACTTAAATACTTACAAGGGCCAGGTAGGAGTGGAGGGAGTGGGCTGTTCAAATATTGAGACACTTCCATGAAAGTCAGCAAATATACTTTGCCCTAAATGTCTATCTCCCCTCAAGCCCACACCCCAAGTCTTCTTCCCCTGGTCCTTCTGGATCTTTCTGCATTTAGTATCTCTTATCACTAACTCCTTCTGGGGTTAGCATCTGGTGAAGTAAAACAGTTAATATCTATTAATATCTGACAAAGTATCCTATGTTCTTTCTAATAGATATAAGCCTTACTTGTTAGAATATTTCATTACTACCCCTAGATGAGGACTGTGATAGCCTGTAGCATTCATGTTACACCTTAAGGAAATAAAAAAAATTAAAAACATGTTCCTGCCTAAAACAACACAACACAAAGCAAAAATATCATGTTTTCAGGCTAAATTTAGTTAGGTGTCTCTAGTTTGTAACAGGAGTAATCTTATTTACTTCAAGAGCTTCTACTACCATTTGATATCATTTTTAAAAAACAACATTTATTAAGTACCTTCAGTGTCCCAATTATCATGTTAGGTACTAAGGATTAGTATACTAAAGAGAACAAGACAGACCTGTTCACTATACTGATCATCCTGCATTCTAATGGATTGGGCAGATGAAAATCACATATACAGAAATATAATTGTAGTAGTTGAAAAACTACTGAATGCTACAAAGGAAATACATCAGGGGCTGAGAAAAAAGAAATCCCAAGGGGGAAATTCCTTTAAGTAAGGCGATCAGGAAAGCCTCTCTGAAGAAATAACACTTAAACCAAAATTTAAAGAGAGAGAAGGATATCTATGCACTGAATGTCAGGAACAGTATCCCAAGCAAAAGAATTTGGTATGATTAAAAATGAAAAGATCAGTGGAGTATAATGAACAAGAAGAGAGTGAGTGGTACTGCAAACATGTATGGTAGGTTTCAGTCTTATTTTGAGTGACTGGGAAACCATCAAAGAGAAAATTAATGGAGGGATATGATCTGTTTTTTATTTTCAAAACATGACTTTTGTCTTTTGTGGAAAATGGACTATAAAGAGAAGAATGGAAATGAGAAGATTCATCAATGGTCTTTTGCAAGAATTAATTGAATCATTCATCGACAACTTAGTACACTTACTAGAAAGTATTCTAGACACTGGAGATGTAGCAGTGAATAAGAAAGGCAACATCTTTGCCTCTTGGAGCTTAAATTCTAGGGAAGAGGCATGGGAAAACTGACTTTAAACAAGAAAACAAAGGTAATTTCAGAGAAAAAAGTATTTTAAAGATACATAAAAAAAATACATTAATGTAAAAGTGATGGGATTGGGTGGGTGGGGGGGTTGCTTGTACTGGACACAGGAAAGATCCCTTTATTCAGATGACATGTGAATTGTAACTTACATAATTCAAAAAAGCCAGCACAGTGAATATAGTTTGAAGGGGTAGAAACACCAAGGACAAATGCCCTAATGGGAAGAACCTTGTTAGAGAGCTAGACCACAATGTTGTAGGAATGTGCTAAGGACAGAGGTAAGGATCATGTGATCTTTGTCAAAATCTAAACTTTATTCTAAGTGAAATAGGAAGCCACTGAATAGTTAAAAAGTTCTTTGCTAATAGCCTGTAACAAGGTGACTGCAATAGTCATGGAAGAAAGAAAATGGAGTCATGACACATTTTGGAGACGGAATTGATAGACATTGCTTTTGGGCTGGCTGTGGGGAATTAAAAAAAGATAGTATCAAGGATAATCTTCAAGTTCTGACTTTTCTAAACAAGAGAATAATAATGATATAAAATAAGCCAAAGAAGACTGGGGTGTATGGGCTATAAGGGATTCAAACTGAAAGTTTGAGATGTGAAGTAAGCAACCGGATATGTGAGTTTGAAGATAATAGTTTGTAAGTCACAAGCATAAATATGGTATTTATTAATTTAGGATTTGAAGAAATCCAGTGAAGAATATATAGAAAAGATGAAGAGGAACCAAAACTGGGCTTCTAGAAATATATGGCCCTCAAAGAGATCACAAGGGAAGAGGGAAGAGTAGGCAAATGCAAAGGACGTAGAAGAGGCAGGGAGGAAGACTAAAGTAAAAGAAAACCTTAGAAGCCAAAAAAGAGAGTGGTCATAAATGGCTATCTCTAATCCAAATAGCTCTCGAGAGCCAAACAGTATATATAGCTACCTACTGGGATTTTCTAAAAAGTTGACCCATAAGTTCAAATTTGAACTCATCAAAGGACTGTTCTTCCTGTTTTCCCTATTTGGGTAGATGGCCTGCTAATTACTCAATGCATCACATCTGAAACCTCCCTGTTTATTATGTTTCATATCTGATGGATCATTACATTCAGCTGCTTTGATTTCTAAACTTTTCCTTAAACCTCTCCCCTGCAGTTCATTCTTATTGCCACTGATGTAGGTAAACTTTTCAATTATCCCTTCTAAAGGTAATTGTTTTTTTTCACAGGCTCTGAAGTAGGTCCCACTATTCTCCCTATCTTCTCTATATATTACCATCCAAGGCTAGAGCCAGTCAAAATTCTGCAAAGTTATGGATCATAGTTTAGGCAGATGAGCAGAGATGAGCAGAGCCATTCATTTTTCTTTCTTGGGACTGTGACCCAGGAAATACTGAGAGACATTCCACTCAGCAGAAGGAAATGCCTATTCATTATATAGTATGAGGCTTGAAGAGCCATGATGGCCGTAGGCAAGCGTGCATTATGAGGATATATAAATTGAGTAACCAGAGAAAGGAATTGAGAGAGAAAAGAGAATGGAGTAGATGCAAAGAGCAAAGCTACAAACAGGGAGAGACCAGGAGGCTTATTAGAGAAATGGCAAGTGTAGCCAGTTCTTGAATGACTTCCTGTCACACACCCACCCCTAAACTCAATTAATCTGGTTGGGTTTATTTTTCTTTTAACTGAGTAATTATTGTTCAGTTTTAATTTTTGGCCATCCAAAAATCACACAAGGTATTAGATATGCTTGAGCCCCAAGTCTGTTAGCCAAAGTCCTGGCTTTTAGCCAGGGCACCATACTGTCTTCCATCCATGTGCCTTAAGAGCAACACTTTTGTTTTCTAGCTTGTATTATTTCAATAACCTCCTTTCTTATCTCCTTGCCTTCAGTCCCACTTTTATCTGTCTTCCACAAGGTCATTAAAGTGATCTCTCTAAAATCCATACCTGATTTTATCTCTCTTTTGTTTAAAATTTTCAGTGGTTTACCATTGCATTCGGCATAAAACACAAACTCATCTATATGTCATCTCAAGGTTCTCCTCAATATGAGTCTCTTATTTCATCTACATTTCATTTATTTCCATTTCTGGAAAATGGGTATGACTTTTTCAAAACTTAGCTTAACATCATTTCTCTGGAAAGCAGTTCCTATCTGAATAAGGTGGGCCTCTTACATTGACAGAGTATGTAGTCTTCCCCTTTACCATATTACTTAGTATACTTTTAGTACATATAATTTGTACTTTAATGGATCACAAGCCTGCCACCCGCTGTAGGCTGTGAGCAACTTGAGGGACAAACACTGTGTCTGACACCATTATATATAATGCCTGGAAAGTAGTAGGTGCTTAATAAATGGTTATTAATTCAAAGATATATGTTTAATTTTATATGAATAACCAAATATAAGATCAAAACAAAAATGAAAAGGCTACATAAATAACATTGTGGGCCTTACTCTTGAATCTTGTTAGTAAAGCAGAAAAAAAAAAAAATGAGTTTTCTAACCATTAACAAGTCAGAGCAAATAAAAAGGCATGTCCCAGTATTGTGTTGGAGGGCCATTTAAGTAATTATATTTAAGTGCATGTTGGGAAATACTATCATAAAAATATACCCCTATCCTGAGCCATTGTTTAATCTGAATATTTTATAAAGAAAAAAATACCCCAAGGGCCCAGATCACTTCCTTGCCAGAGTTAGTGAGA